AAGTTATTTGTGGATAATAATTATTATGTTTCATTTGGACCTACACTATGAAATGTATTTCTAGTTTCATTGCTCACAGGACAGTTAAGAGTAGAAGCAAATGCTGCGGAGATACTTTGTTGTAGAATGATTGCTTAAATCAGCTTGTGATCATGTTTCTCAGCCACTTGATCTTGTTCTTCAAATATGGATTTATTTAGTCATTAATGTTTACCATGTTCAAAGGCTACTGTTAGTAATCTTTGGCAGCCTTTCTGATTTTACTGGTCAAAACACATCTCGACTGTTTAATTGCCTAACTTTCAACAAGAAAATTATCTGTTATCTAAATGACACATGTGACATGTAGGGCCGTGCACAGAAGGTGGTTATCTCACTAGCTACTGTTGGGAGGGAGACTTTAAGAATCCGGCCCTGCAAAGTCCTTGTCCACAGAGCATTTGTAGGAAGCCAGGGCAGTCAGTGTGTCATGGCACTGGCATGTCGAGGAAGGAATGAGTGTTAGGGAAGTTTTCTCACAGATTACCTGCAGTCCACCCACTCCTCTGTTTCGGCTTGCACAAACCTTGGTGTTATAATCCTGATTCTCTCTCGAGATCCTGCCAATCATTCCAGCTTCTGAGGTGACTTGTGACGCTGGCCAGTATCCAGAAATAGAAACCAAGGCTTAAGTTTCTGTTTTAAGCTTTCTGAGAAAGGAAAAAAAAAACCCAAACCAAAACATTTTATGCAATTGACTGCTCAGGCCAACTGAGCTGATGGTACAAAGTATCTTGGCAAACAAACAAAGAAGAGAAATGGCTTGATGTTGCATTGCTGCAGTCAAGCAATCTGGGCATTTTCCTGGCTTAACTGGTTAGGTTGTTTGCAGTTGCATGTAATTATGCAGGTTGTAGGAACTCATTTTGTCAGACACAGATGAGTTTCTTAGTTCCTACAAAAAGAATGCAAGATAAGAAAAAAAAAAGAATTTAATAGACCTTTGTTGTTGAGCTATCCGACACTGTATTATTTCCTATGCTCTATTTAGAGGTAGACAACTAATTCCGGGAACCAAATAAAAGACAGAATGGATCAGAATGGATTGTTCTGTACAGACAGTTAATTTACATTCCAGAGATTGGTAGCTGTTTACTTTTCTGTTTTTGTAGGAGACATGGGTGTTGCTTAGAACAATTCCGGGGAGATACGGGTCTTAAACTAAAACGTAAAGGTTTTCTTCAGTAAGACTGTAGTTCTGGAAAGACAAGCTTCATTGACAACACTTTTTCTGTTACCTTTTCCTTTATTTCCTCATCTCTGTCTGTTCTGGTTTAGTTGTTTTTTTTTTCCTGTGAGGTGTTAAATAGCACATTACCTATTCTCTTACAATTATTTAGCTAGTTAAGTTTTCTTTTTTCAAAGCTTCATAATTAGGGGGGTTTGGTGGGGTTTCTTGTTTGGGTTTTTTGTTTGGTTTTGTTGTTTTATTTTTTTTTAATCTGGCAACTGTAAATTGACAGAAAGGTTTTGAATGGTTTTCAGTGCAAACACTTTTATGGACTATGATAATCTTGTGGGCTACTTATGAATTCGGCACTTTGGCAGACTCCCAGCTTACCTTTTAACCTCCCATCTGTACTTCAATGGGAGTCATACTGCTGTTGTTTTAGCCTCTTCTAAATTTCTTTTGAAACTATGGTACTCTTTGTGATAATAAAAATCTACTGGTATTAAATTCCATTATTGTGTGAGTAATTAAGCTGATGTCCTCAGTGCCTCCAACAGGGTTTTGAAGAGGCTGATAGGCTTCACTGCTTTGTTTTGGCTTGATGAAGGGGTCCCAATTGTTTTTCTTCTGTCAAGTAGGAGTATAGTTTGGTAAATGGTAAGAAAGTTAAATTGACTTGTGTTTTTACAGACAGGCTTAAAATTACACTGTCAGTCTTTTCAGGTAGTCAGAATTTGATATTTATACTCTTCCTGTTTTTCTCTTTTCTGAGTTTGTTCATTCTCTTTTTCCACTGTCAAGTTAGATTTTTATTGCTGATTTCTGTGTCTTATACAAATCTTCAAGGAAATAAAGACAATGGTGAGTATCCTGTCCTTCTGCGTTATGTGGTGGCTTGCTGTCAGTGTTTTATTACTGTTGAGATTTCTCCTGGCTTAGGAGTTTCTTGAGTTACCAACTATACTTGCATTCAACTCTATGGCTAGCATATGGCATTAAATGAAACTTAAACAATTTTAGGTACTAACAGTTCCAGTGTGTCATCTCTCTGCACTGGGAAGTCCTACTTCTGAGATTAGAGTTAACATGCAAGAGTCCTCTGATGATCACTTAACAGTTCAAATTAAGGTGGACCCAGTTTTCTGAGCAGACTCCGGAATTTTATCAGTCTGCAAGTGGTTCCTACATAACATCAAATATAATTATTCTTTGATTTATCTGAACATCTTGACTTTTTGAAATATAGCATGTATTCTTTCTTAGCTTAGGTACATCCAAGATAACAGTACATTTGGAATGTTAAAAGTTCCAGTGACAAGCTTATTTACTTCTCCAATCCGGAAGAGCCTTATCCTATTGTTGTACTTGATCACATTTACTTGATGATGTTACAGTCTTGTCTTAATGCAGGTCTTTTGATTGTAACACTTGCAATTCACTGGAAGAGCTGTTTTGGGAAGGCATGTGACTTTCTGAGCACGGAGCATTATTTTGTTTATTTGACTTCTTTGAGGGACACAGAGCTGTTGATATCTGTTTACCCTTGCATGATGTTGGACAATTCTTGCAAATCACTTCCAGGAGAAGGAAGAGGTGGTTATGTGAGGGGTTAAATTGCTAGATGTAGGGGATTATGATGTAGCCAGCTGGATCTTGGGCTGTTTAGGAACTCATAAAAAGGATGACCTTAAGGAATGATAATATATGTAGCCTGCTTCAAAGGGCCTTATGTGGATGACTAGTTGAGGAACTACAAGAGCAGCATAACCAATCTGGGAACAGCGATGTCTTGTGTAGGGCATATTGGTTGCAAAAACATTATTACAGCCAGTATATACTTGAGCTACATAAACCATACCTGGTAAAGCTAGTTTATGTGGGAGACAGAGGATTTATTGTTACAAGGTAAATCTGACTTTTCTTTGCCATGTCAGACTTCTTGTACATGCACAAACCACTTTGTAACATGTATTCAGCACCGTCTATCTCTGCATGCACAGTAAGTCATCCAGTGCTTCCAAGAGTGTCTGATTTACTGCACAGATGTACCATGATTATGCAGACCTTGAGTAGTAAGCCCACTTTGTCCCAGATATATCTGATTTTTATGCTGTCCTCTGTACATACTTGAGAAATATATGTTGGATAAAGGTGGGCCAGTGTGTTTGAAAACTTTGAACAAGTATCAGAAGGAAAAAGAAAAAAAGAATAAAATCCATTTACTGAAATTGGGATGATAGGGAGAAAAGAACTTTTCTGGGGAAATCCCAGCATACTATAGCCTCGGACATGGCCACAAAAACTCTTAACATAATGCAGCCTTGGATGGGTTGTTTAATCATTTCATGTGTGTGAATGCTTCCACCATGATTCAGTGCCAGTGGTTCTAAAGTCTGGGGTTTGATAGAGAAACATTTCTCTGAAAGAAATCCTCAGAATAATGATGAATACCAATCATCCCTCACTTAGGTGGAATTTGTTGGCATAAAGGATTTTTGCAAACAACCCTGTATCTTTTCATAGGCTTTTGTGGTCACATTTATTTACAGAAACTGTCAGGAGGTTTTATTCCTCTATCTGATTTAGAACTTGCCTGCACACACTCCCGCCACCACCCTAAATTCTACCTATGGAAATTTTTCTAATTATTCTAGGAAAAAATTTCTGATCAGAAAGTGTCCACAGAGTCACCTAATGACAATTGTTCTGGTTTTGACTCTCACCTTTGTGTGTATTCATTTATTACTGTATGGTTTTGATAGGCAGAAGTACCTAAAGCCTAGACAGAAGTATAAAGATATGATGATCCATGCAATAAAGTAGGGTGTTTTGCCTTTGGTTTATGTTATTTTATTATTTATACATGACTAGATGTTTTTAATTGTGGATATATTTCCTTCAACTGAGGGTTCTTTTATGCACTGACTTTATAAATCCTTTTGAAATTTAGTCTAAGGCAAGTGGCAGGTAAGTTAATTGGGTCTGAGTATCCATCATGTTGGAACATGCAATAGCCATCACTAGTATATTTAGAAAATGTGCAGAGTGCAAGGAAGGAAAGGTGGATATCCCTTTCTCAACCTATTTTTGACCTCACCCAATTTAATGACTGAAGAATTGTGAAGTTTTGACACAAAGACATTTGTACAACAAGTGATCGGAGACAGCTGCTGTGTTGTTCAACAATGAATGCAAAATATTCCTGTGAGATTACTTTTGAGCAGGTTTAAGCTGCAGAAAATAATGAGTGTTGTTTCTCATCCCTCTCATTGCAATCTGAACTTTGAATTGCTAGTATACATTAAGAATCCAATTCAAAATACTCCAAGTTTGAAAGTACCTATTAATTCAACCCATATGATAGGGTATGGATAGATTGGTGCTCCTTTTACTTTGTGCTACTGCAAAAGGGGAAAATGGCTTCATTAGACACAGTTGACCTGTTTCACATAGACAGAATGCTGGATATGTAACAAAAAAGAGACTTAGCTATTTTCCAAACATTTCCACTACATTTCTGTCTTGAGTACAGCTCTGCTTTCATGCAACTAAAGAGAAGGCAAAGGCCTGGTCTTGCAAAATGCTTGTTGTTGCTTGCTTTCTTATTGCCTCTAACTATTGGTAGGTGTATTTAGTGACAGCTACCAACTTCTCACACACACGTGAAGGACAGTCTTTCAGTGGTGTTTGTGAAACCATCTATTTGTCATAATCTATAGTTTATGATGAAATCAAGAGCATATGATGAAAATTTGAGAGTTGATTCAATTTTGAGCCTTTTTTATTTCAGGGACCTGAAACTGGACAATATTCTTCTGGATGCAGAAGGCCACTGTAAACTGGCTGACTTTGGGATGTGCAAAGAAGGGATTCTGAATGGAGTGACCACCACAACCTTTTGTGGCACACCTGACTATATAGCTCCAGAGGTATTTTTTTCTGCACTGTACTAAGAATACAGATATTATCATTCGTCAGACTGTTAACATGTATAATTTGAGACACTTTTTACACATAGATGAAAACAGGAGAAGATACAGACTAGATTGTGCTGCAGTTTTGCCTGGGTAATCTTGATGAATTGGTTAGTCTGCTGCTCACAAGCAGTATTCCATGTTGACAGAAGTGACAAAACATGTTTTGTTTTTTTCTATTATTTGTTTCCTGAACTTAACCATGTTCTTCTCCATACACTTATTTCTGACTCAGCATCATTTTGAAGGCACGTACTAGCCTATAAGGTGCTAGATGCAACTGAGTCCTGAAGGCACTGGTCTTCAGTAGTTATAAAAATGTTTTTCATTTTTCATGAGACTTAGAAGGGCATGTTCATACAGAAAAGACCACATGTTCAGTTTCATTTTGCCTACAGTGTTTGTGGGAATATTAATTTTGTTCCTTCCTTTAAAGTATCTGTGAGTGAAAGATACTGTTTGTGCTACTTACCATATGGATGAACAGAAAGTATAGACTTGGATAGAAAAGTAGCAACTTTTCCTATGGATGCTGCATATCAGTTGGCAACATCCAAAGTAATTTCAAGGCATTCATTGGATAAAAGAAATGGCTGAGAATCATGTGGGTTTTACATATCCTAAATTTTAATATTATGGGATGCACTTCCAAGTTCCTAAAACAATTCAATATTGTACAGTTAGTCTGCTAGGCAAACATCGTCTACTCGGTTTAGTTAGTAACCTCTGCATCTGCCTGCTGAAGATTCAGTGTGCAGATTTAATGTAAAAGCATCATTGGTCTGTCTTTCATCAACCATAAATTTGCAGCAGGGAAAAATGCTAGTTTACTATTTGCCACAGACAATAAATTAGAAATTGATATTGTTAGTGTTCATGGCTGTCAAGCTTTGGTAGCACAACTGATAATCTGTGAAACTATAGTAAAATAAATGTGTATCTTATAGAGTTTGAAAAGTATTCCAACATTAAAAGAAAAGAAATACGAGTGTGATGGTTTTCATTTTGTTTTAATTCTTTTCTGATTCAGTATACTAATTGAGTAATTTTATATATATAATTTTCTTTGAAAATTATTGTTCTTTGAAAATTATTATGGAAACAAAACAATAATAAGATTCTAGGAACTTTTACATGAAATCCCAGTCTCACTGAGGTCAGTACTTCCGTTGTGTCATTTTGTCATCTTAATTGCAAAAGTTTATCTCCTGCTTTTATTTCTCTCGCATCATGATGGTATGTTTCAATTTCCTTTCCTTTAGCAGTATCTGAGCTCCAAAGAGTGCTCAGAACACTTGAAAAATACATTTCTGAAGAGTATCATTTTCTGTAATTAATGTGTATAAAATGTAATATCTATTCAACTAAGAATCCACTTGATATCCAGACCATTCAAACGCTAAATTCCTTTCTAGTTTTATCTTAAGACTGAATTTAGTTCTATACTGGTCATGATTCCCAAATACAGCACTAAGTTAATGCAGTTCCCCATGAGGCTTCTGACTGTAACATTAGTGTTGCTTAAGGAGGTGGTGGAGTTGTTGCCATTCCAACTCATTTTAAGGCAGTCAGCTTCACCTTAAACAGGTAACCACTCTGCTTTCCTCAGTCGCCTCCCATGCTGAAACATTGCATCCAAAATACCAAGCTGCTTTTCAGTGAAGAGGAGCCAAGAATTAAACTTGTTCCTTTTACAACACTACTTCTGTTAACACCAAGTAGTACAATAAAACTCCATCATACTAACCTACTACTCCCTACTAAAGGTATTTGCTACAAGGCTGAACTTGTGCCACGAGAAGAGTTGTAGCCAGTTTTTCTGAAAGCAAGGGCAATTAAAGTGAGTCCTACAGCCATGTATTGTACAGCAGTTTAATGCTGTAAAAAGAACTTGAACAAAAAAGCTTTTGGCTTCCTTCAGCCCTACCTAAAGGACGAGAATAAATCTCTCAGATGATCTCTGTGCAGCATTACAAGCTAGTTCAGTTTGTTTTCTCCAAGATAGAGACAAGGAAATGTTTCACATTTTCCACCAATCTGTTTTGTATATGTGATCTTTTTTCCCCTATAGCGTGACCTGCTTTAAACAGTTTGGAAGGATATACAGCTCTTTTACTCATGAGCATACTCTTTTACTCAGGGGACTGATAAACTCAGTCAGTACTTCTGAGAACAGCTACACATTGGCACTTGGCTGTGTTTGTGCAAATTGCATGGGTAAGAAACCATGCCTGCTGTTACCAAAATCAGTGTGGGATTTAGTCCTGCTTAGGTGCTGCAGGAATGAAAGGGTGTATCATGTTGAAACAGCTAATGTGCAGCCAAAAGTGTTCTCTAACTTGTCTATTCGATCTAATCTCTTTCTCTGTACTAGATCCTCCAGGAGTTAGAATATGGCCCATCAGTCGACTGGTGGGCTCTGGGTGTTCTCATGTATGAAATGATGGCTGGGCAACCCCCCTTTGAGGCTGACAATGAAGATGATCTCTTTGAATCCATCCTTCATGATGATGTCTTGTATCCAGTCTGGCTCAGTAAAGAAGCCGTCAGCATTTTAAAAGCAGTGAGTCTTCCATAATTGCTTTCCTCCTCCTTTTCATGTTTTTTTCTGGGGGTTGTTGTTTTTTGGGTTGGTTTTTTTTTCCCCTTGATTAAAATTGAATTTGCCGAAAGTTGTTGAGAGCAGTCACCACTGGGAGTTCAAGCACAGTTCAGAGTGCCACTGTTAGGATAATGGGGCCTGGGATAAATTACACTGCTTGTGGGAAAGGAACAGAATGTTTGTATTCCACGCAGTTGTACACTGTATAAGTCTGTATACTGCAGATTCATATTTCAGGGAAAACCCAACCAACTAGGGCTGTGCTATCACTTTGACACTTTATATGCCACATGTTCACTAGAGTGGGGGATGCACTACATAATTAAAGAAACAATGTTTTTATTTAACCCACTTATAAAAGTTCTTGTCCCTCTGACTTTCTTCCCCTATCATCAAGATGGGTTGGCAGCCCTTTGTTTACAGCTGCATATTGTATTTTATAGTTCACATAGCACTTTGATAAGTAGTCTTCCTCTAGTGTAATTGCTTCTGCCCTGGTTGATGTTTTTCAATATGAGTAGTGACTTGACAGAAATTAGGGTCACCAAAAGCCACAATATCAGTCAAAATGGGCAACTTCAGTTTTTAGACTACCTTTTTAAAGTCAGGTTTACTTCATTAATGTGACACTGACATAAATTATTTTTTCTGTGCAAGCATCATCCTAAAATAAAAAGCAGAACAAAACAGAAGCAGTATGCCAGTCCCCATAGATTGAAAACCTGAGGAGGATTTCTTGCTTTAGAAAAACTCCTTGTTTTATACCTTTTATACCTTTCCCGTTCTGTTTTTCTTTCAGCATCAGGAATAATGAAAGCTTTCAATTAAAACACAGCTGATAGTGTTAAGTCCTGCAGGTTTTTTCATACAGGGTTCCATTTTGAAATTATATAAAAATCTTTTTAACACCAATGGACCAGTAACACATTCTGCAGAAATGCTCATCTTGATCTTTTAATAAAGATACCCTCATGCTCATTCTAGCTGAGAGAGAGATGCTCTAGCAGATGATTGAAAGCAGAAGTCAAAGTTAATGTCTCTGAATTATTTGCTGGGGTATCTCTTGCTGCATTTATTGTAGTGAGAACATGGAGGATTTATTATTGCTGACCTTTATACAAGTTCTTCCTTCTCCGCCCAGATAGTTCTCTGATGACTTTTTATTAGCTGACATGATATTTTTTGTGCATCCATTTTTGTTTCCAGACCCTTCAATTATTTTCAGTTCAGTAATTAAAATGTATAAACTTGAGCTGCAAAATTCAGGCTCATATCCAGGTCTCAGGGGTCATTTTGGTGTATTGTAGAGAAACGGTTGTTTTCAATGTTCCTATGTGCATCTGAATTTCACTCAAGTCCAAGAGATTTTCTGTAGTCAATCAGTTTCACAGTCTTTTAAGTTCTGTTCCTTTGCCATCCACATACTCCTTCAGTGAATCTATGTTATCATCTGACCTATTATTCTGAATCAGGGTAACATTTGTTGGAGGGGAAAAGTTAACCAATAACTCTTGGTTAAGTATTTAGTATGACAGCTGTTGCAACTATTAGAATAAGGAATTTGTTTTACAAAGGAAAGGGAGAAACAGATTTGACACTCAGAGCCTTGTTATGCTGTCTCATCGGTGGTGCAAGTAGTGAGATGTCTTTTACTGTTACACATCATCTCATTCATTAACCACACACAAATGCAGACACAGAATTGGGCTGCAGGTGTAAGCTTTGTATTTTTGTGAATGTAAGTGCAAGGGTGTTAAAGCCTCGCATTTCTTGTAAAGCTGACTTTGCTATAAATTTTCATGAAGTAGTTTTCCTGGGTCTACATTTTGATAGTAGGTATGATGGTTTGTATTTTGTTATAGTTGTAGCTTTTTGGGTTTTTTTACATCTCTCTATCTGAAGTTAATCCTTAAAGCCATTATGAACTTTAAAAACAGTTGCATCCATTAAACAGATTTGCACTATAGTAATAGATAATTCCTCATTGGGCAAGATGCCTTCATTGACATGAATTGATATAATTTAATGGGGCCGTGCCAGTTTACACTATAAAAAGAATACTTTTCCTTACATTTAGCAACCTGCTACTTACATAGCGAGGGTGTGAAACGTTTGAAATTTGCGTTCTTCATCTGATCCTTGTCCACATACTGTTAAATGAAGAACAGGAAAAACAGAGGGAAGAAAGAGGCGTCTATGTATTTTACTGCTGAATGGTAGCAAGGGATTAACTTTGGAACACATCATTTCCTCACATTGTGCTTTGAGACATGGATTTTATTCTTCAGAAACTCTGTGTTTTTACACTCCTCCAAACAGTGTGTAAGGAAAGTTTAATAAGAAGACATTCTCTTGTATTAAGTAACAATGTTTTCTGGTTTTCAGAAGAAACAGTTTTCCTGTTATTTCCAACAAAACACTAAGGAGGATAATTATACAGCTCAATATTACAAGGCAGCACGTTGCTTCTCCCATGAAATCTCACAGATCTTACTAGTCCTGTTTCTGTGAATTGACAGGAATTGCTATTTAAAATTCTTTCCTGTCTGGTAAGGAAAACAATTCTTCATTGAAATTAGCTCTGTGTTTCTTTGCAAGCAGTGGAGAGAGGTTGTGGCCACAGTGTGTGTTCCCTGTGCACCCAGGTTACAGAGATTTCTGGCTACAGAAGCAGAACTGGTTTTAAGCTGTGCTATTTATTTCAAGAAGCAAAATTTTGGGAATCTCATGATCCTTGATTCAGGCCCCAAGTTGCATGTCTACCTCAGCAACCTTTGTCCTGTTGTCATTTAAGTCATTAGGAACTCTGATCTTAAGAGGTTTCTCTTTTCATAAAAGGAGTTTCCTGCCTTAACATGGGAAAATAAAAAGGTAACATGGCTAAGGCTGTCAGCTCCATTGGCAACCATCTCTTCAACACAGTACAGTTAACAGCTGTCTCGGCCCTGACAGTTATATCATTGTTGATGCTGTTGATAAACATAGAATAAATTCTCTTGTGCTTCAGAAATAGAAGGTGAAAAAAATGAATATTTGTTGCAGGGGATGAAATTTATAGAAATAAATGTCCACTTCAGAAGTTTGAGTTTATTTCAGCATATGATAATTTGTTTGGTTTAAGTATTCATTCTTAAAATTTGTTCTTTCTTATCATCCATTTCCAAGTTTCATGAAGTTTGTGAAGTACAATACTAAACCGTACTATCTAGTCATATGTTCATGACCTGGGCTTCTTAAAAACTACGTTTGGATGTTTTCCCTGCCTCTGGCTTAAAACAAAGATAAAACATGGCGGATACTAGGATCAGATTTTACTTCTTTGATACCTGGATTATATGGTACAAAAAGCATAGCCTGTAGTTTCCGTGTTCTGTTTCTGCAAAATGTGGCTGCTGGTTCCTGGCTTGCTCTCTCCAGTCCTGGAGGTGACATAAAGCAGAGGAATGTAGGAATGCATTTTGTGGTTTTCCAAGAGACCTCACCAAAGCACAGTAATCCTTTCGAAACCTTTGTTTCTCCTGCCCATAGAAAATATGGCCTGTAGTTTAGATATAACTTGTCCACTTTCAGAAGAACTTCCAGAGAAGCTGAACACAAGACCAAAGAGAACGATTGTCTGTGGAGCAGTGCATATGTGTCAGAATTGCCTTGGTGATCTATGTTATGTCTTTAAAATGATAGCAGTGGTATTCTCCTGTGGATGGCTAATCTAGCTATCTAAAAACATCTTAAGGGCTTCAGCAGCTGCTTATCCAATAACTGGATTCTTTGTCCACATGCATTAGGAAATAAGTAGAACAATTGCTAATAAAGGAAGGAAGAAATAGCAGAGCAAACCCAAGAAAAATATTATCAGCTGCCATCATTTGATATCAATGTCTTACACTGGTTGTACAGCTTTTTACTGAAAGAAATAGTAAGAGTTTAAAAGTGAAGAGTTTAGAAATTGCTGCACCAGAGGAGACCAGTTACTTCCAGTTGCTGCCACTAATGGTGTACTAAAAATGAAAGGGAAGGTGCCCGTTATGTCATGGAGTTTCTCAAGGAAAGACACTCATCACTCCATCTATTTCCTGAAACAGAATGCTTATAATTCATATAGCTGCAGGTGCTGTTACTTGTATTAGAATAAAATCCTAGAAATGAGTAAGGAAGTTATGGCTTTTCACATGTCTGGTGTGATTATGCAACCTACGTACTCAAAGAAAGCAAACAGCAGTAAGAATAATATGTAGCCCCTATCTGCCAACTTAATAGTTAAGACAGAGCAAATAAGGTAAAGTAAGAGCTATCCTGACAGTCTATTTCAAAGTGTCTCTGGAGTGTTTAATATTTTCTGTCTTTCTTTTAGTATTTTTGGCCAAATCTGGAACTAGAAATACCGACAAAGAATCTGGTCCTATAGTTCTCCCAGACAGTTAAATTAGGAGGTCTCAGCAATCAGTTGAAAGAGCTTCCTGAAGGAAACTTCAACTCCAGAGCCTCTGAATCTTCTGATTTGGCTGGAACATCTGAAATTTGGAGAGGCATCCTTGTTGCTCTTAGAGAAAAAATAACCTTCTGAAAGGGGACTGTCTCTAAAAGCTAGGCTTTAGGAAGTCTAATGCGTAATTGAACTGGATATGGTTTCCAGCCATTGCCATTCATCTTTTAACTTTTTCCTCCTCTCCCTCCCCTGCCCTGTAGTTCATGACAAAGAACCCCAATAAGCGACTTGGCTGTGTGGCATCACAGAACGGGGAAGACGCGATTAAGCAGCATCCATTTTTCAAGGAAATTGACTGGGTTCTTCTAGAACAAAGGAAAATCAAGCCACCCTTCAAACCTCGGATTGTAAGTAGCAGTTTGCATAACATTGATAGGAATCTTGGTTTGACAATTTCAGTTGTTGGCTTTTCTGACACATGAGATTACCTAATGCAATATTTAGGGGTTGAAATAGTAACATAAAAACCGTGCTGAAAAGATTGCCTTGTCATTGTTTCTAAGAAGGTAAGTGTCAGGAATAGATTTAGTGCACAGAAAAATCTTCATGTTCACATAAAACATGAGAGGGTTAAAGGTGCCGTTTTAATTATTTTCCTGTGTTCCTAAAGATACTTTGATTGGAAGAGATTATTTCAGTTGGGTATGTACTGTCTGTACTTTCTGTGTGAACTTTGCTACAGTCCTGCATTGCCAGTGGCTGCTGGATTTTGTAGTGAAAGGCAGAGGAAAGAATTTCTGATTAATAATATTCTAACTGAAGATACTTGAAAAAACTGCTTCTGAGGCAAAGAATATACATCATGATTAGATAAACTGATGTACTCGCATTTTCCTAGGTAATAAACAAGTATTTCTTTTTTAACAAAAAAGTGTAAATAGCAGCCCCGCTTGCAGAAACTACAAAAGCCAAGCAAAGATTCATGGCTTATTCTTGTCTTCCTCTGGATGAAAATACAGTTCACCAAATATCAGCTTTTCAGCTGAGAATGGCTGCAGTTAATTTTGTGCTTGAACAGTACAAGAGAATAATTATATGATAAATCCTTTGAGATTGCTTTGTATCTTTTGACTTTGCACATTCCTAATTACAATGTTTGACTTGCCTGTAAATACAATCAAGGTATTTGTTTGTTTTTTCTCTTTAGATAGTGTAGAAAGCTATTTAAAAAATAAATAAAACAACTTTGGGCTCAACACTGAATCCTAACTTAAATTTAGAAGTGAAAAAGTCCCCTCTGTCACTGCAGAATTGTTGTCTGTTGCATTTAATGCATTTACTTCTAGTCCAGTGAGATGCATTTCCCCAAGTTCCTTATGCAGGTGTTGAAAGTGGGGCTGCCTGTCCAGAACAGGAGCCTGAGGTAACTCCTCAAGTCTACACTTGGAGGAGTCTCTCTCAATATATAGGTCTTTTCCTGTTTTCACAAGAATTTATCTCACAGTAAATTTTGTGGCTTTGCTTAGTATTCAGCAGCATTTTGGTAATACAGTTATCAAATCAGGATGCGCAGTTCCAAAATAATTTTCACTTTATGCTTGCATCTAGTAAGTTCCAGATTTCCTCACATCTATTCTATTTGCTGCTTTTCTTTCCTGATCGAGATGTGTGGTCCCTTTGACAATAGGTATTTTTACAAGGCCTTTATTATTTTTGTAAGTATTCCTGTTGCAGTGGTCTTTTTTTAAAGTCAGGAGGCATTTAGAGTATCAGATATTTTTATTCATTGCTAATATAAATACCTTCTACATTCTCAATACAGCTTCTTTCTGGTAATTATTTCAGTGCTGTTATATTGTAAAGCCATTCATATTTTATTAATTTCTGTTGTTTTGTTCCTTTTCTCCTTCCTTTAATGATATTTGAGTTGGATATGTCAGGTTTAGTAGTATTTCAGACTATTTCAGAGTAGTCCTTTGTATAATTTTCAAGACAGCTGCTTGCTCTTTAATAACTGTTAGGGTGATTTTACACATCTTTATTTACACCTTTTCTCATTTTTCTTCAGGCTGCTTCTGTAACATCAGATTTGCATACTACTTCTTTCCATATTGTATATGCCAACTTGCTTTATTCTACCAAAATTGATTCCAGTCTAGTAGTTCTGTGTGCTTGGTTTTTTAATGAACTCAGGTAACATGTAGTCTATGTTACAGGCATCCCTACTATTTTCATATTCTGAGTCTGCTCTCTCCAAGGTATCTTCCCCAATGGCCTGGTCCTATCAACTTTTACTGATAACTTTTTTACACTTAGAAAGAGCATACCTTGCATATTTACACTATGTTTATGATCCATCAGCTGTTTTCTGTATCAGCTGTATAAATTGCAATTGTTTGGATTTTGTTATTGTGTAGAAATCTTTGAGCAAGATCATACTGAAATTTTTACTTGTACTCTTAAGACTGAACAATTTATTAGTTGGAAAGCAAAGTGTGATATATATCTAGGCTGGAGAGAAAGATGATATGAACAAAATATAATTACTAATAATGCAATTTATGAAGTAGTAAAGGAATCCAGAGCAGTAAATTTCAAACGCCAAAAAGGTGATTTCGGATGCTTGCCAAGCCAGAAGAGATTGAACTCCCTTTGAAAAATACAGAAAAGAGGGAAGAACGTGAACACTAATGAAATAAAGTCTATTTAAAATCTAGATAGCTCCTGTCTAAATTCAGTTGTGGGTGTGGCATTGAGATTCATTGATTCAGATAACCAAGGGTAACTTCCACAGCTATGGAATAACTATGGGAAAAACATAACAAATGCCTGTGTTTGGAATGTTTTCTGGTATTGAACATCATTCAGTATTGATAAAGGGCTGTTGATTATTTAAAAGTGACTTTTAAAATTAAGAGGGGATTAAACCAATATATTTGTAATCTTATGTTCAAGAGAGCCTAGATCTGTGAAATCAGCTATGAGAAAGAGAGGCCAGATTACTAGTCAGAAAATAGACATTCTTGCATGTGATATGTGAGTGTACGTATGTGTAGGGA